TAAGCCAGGCACGCATAAAGAACACAACAGGACAAGGAGCACACAATGGATCGTTATAATGTTCTGCTCGGACTGCAACTGCCAATCAGAAGACTGTGTCACATCATCAAGCGTCGTCAGAGTATATAAAACTGCAAGAGGTCCAAATTTTGAGGTTTCGTTTAAACGCAATCCTTCAAAATGTGTTTGTATCGAACGTCTATAGGACGCATTCAAATTTTGAGTTCTATCTGAATTCTAATAGGGCGCCCCCTATCCAATCGCTTAGGATAAATCTTTTTCGCTTCAATGCGTGCATGCAAAATCAGGTAGTCGGAATTTTTGCAGTTCTATACTCTTTGACAACATCCAAACCAATGTAGCGTGTGTCTGACTTTACACCAGTCCTAGCCTGCCTTACCTTTTGAGCATCACTGCGAAATGGCAATGCTCCCAGTATTACATTTTCTGTTATCCGATCGAACCACCTACGTGACGACACTTTGCTCATTAACACATTGTAAAATAGCGTCGGGTAGAATACAGCTTTTGCAACCGGCATTCTGATTTAATTTATTTCAGTACTTCAGTAGTTTTTCAGTGTCTTCTAGCAACACATTTGTTGCTCACAAGGATAGTTGACAAATGTAATAATGAATGAATGGCCTGCAAAAAACAGAATAATGAAAATTGGAATTAGACCTAAAAAGTTTTGAAAAAAATACAGTAGGCCTAATTAAAAATATTATTTAGGAATAGGAGTATATTCTCATTTAAAAGGACAAACATTTCAAATCAATTCAGAATATTGCTTTTATTTTATAGACTTTTCCAAAGGTATCAAAGAATATGGAACATTTTAAGGGCAAATAGAAAAATTTATTCGATTATCACTCCCGCCCGTGTCAAACATTTTGGAAATATTGATGCGGGAATAAAAAAAAGGGGTTTTTTTGCTGCATCAATTATTTCAACAGCTTAAAAATAACAGTGCAATTTTGTGACTTCAAATACATTTTCTTTAAAAAAAAACTATAAAATTAAACCACTTTTTACCCAATATTTACTATTACTAGGCCTAGTCAAACAAAAACAGTCCCTCCCTCATCAATATTTTTTTTTTAAAGAGTGAGAATCTAATATAATATTTTTCTTTATGTGCCCTTATTTGTGCATCTGTTAATAAATTGGCATCAACATTATTTATTATCATTTTTCAAGTAAAAACAATAACTTTTTGGCTCAAATCTATCTCACCTTCAATTTAGGCCGACGACTACATGCATTACCACATAAGACAAGTAGATTAGACCTACGCAAACCACAACTGATGTAGCACTGGCAGTACGGCTTGGTGTAGCTTGGCTAGGAGGAGGCTGGAACAACCAGGAAGATGCTGCTGCTACCACCTGCCTGCTGTGCACACGTTGTTTGTCCAATGATTGGGCCTAGAAAACGAGGACCAGGCTACAGGCCTAATGAACAATAACTACTATTGCAATTTATCAACATACCAGTCGAACAGATCATTGACTTATGCTGGCATACAGTAATAATGCAAATAACTACCCAGCCCACAATGAGTGACTCACCTATTCATCATCATCGAATACCTGAGCTCCAAAGGCGACAGCCAAGTCAACACCTAAAAAATTCGGGTGAGTAAATGCCGCCCTCTACTATTACTCTTTTTTTTTTTGTAGTTATTTATGTATTTCTACTTCTATGGTAGAACTGATTTGCTTTCCCGTGAAGAAAAGGAGCGTACCACCATTTTTTCCCCTATCTTTTCCCCCAGTTTTTAAATATTCAAAAATCTTGATCTCATTAACCATTCCCAAATTTTTCATCAAACAGCTTTTTGTGTCTAAGCTTTGTCTACACTATCAAATTTCATCAAAAAAATCGTCACAAAATTTTATGGAACATAGAATTTTGAACTCGTACCCATATATGGGCACATCACTTTTTTTTGTCACATAAAATTTGATAGGTGTAGACAAAGCTTAAAAGTTGAACACGATAAACTTATTTTTATACAATTTGATATGTGACAAAAAATGTACAAATGTATAAAAATGATAGTTTAGACAAGGCTTTAGAAAAATCAGTTCTACATCTTCTTGGGACGATATAGTTTCAAGTTGTGTCCCCTGGTTCTGATGTTATGGGATATTATACTACATAAGAGAATGAACGTACAATACAGTATTACTTTATTATGCTTACCTTATTAAGTGAAAAAGAAGTATTTACTCGTATGCCTCCTCTCCTGGAATTTATGTGAATGATAGAGTAGGCCTATTAATATTATGTCTTTGTATGTTAATTTCAATTTGTACAACGTGTACATATATTTTAACTTTATTTCAAGCCCATACATTACAAAGTTACTCGAATTTATAGTAATTTTAGTACTGATAACGCAGGCCCGTATATCGAGCCTGGGGTGCGTACAAATCCAACCCCCCGAAAAAGTCAGACAAAATGACAAACATTAAGACAGTCGAGAATGTACTATACTTAATACAAATACGGCAGATTAAAGCTATTTAGCTTTTACAGACGTTTTACTCCGAAAGTCTTCAACTTTCAACCAAGACCACTCTAGGTTATAATGATAAGAATATAAGAACTGTATTTCTTACGTAATCTGTTTATTGACGAGGAAAATATTTTCTTCTTGTAAACAAACTTATAGGCCTATAAACAATTTAAAAAATGAATATTTGATCAAATCAAATGCACGATATCTTTGTATCGATGTTTTTGAATTATAAACATATACTGTATATATATTATGTATTGTGCCAGGGAACTTGTATTATTTTTTTAAAGATATAACAGGGTCATTATTAGGAGGCAGATATCAGTGGCGGATCCAGGGGGTTCAAGGGGATCGGACGACTCCTCTGTGAAGAAACGTAACAAAATACAACTGGGTCCTGGCTTACAAAACGCATGCTAATCATAGGCATAGGTTGGAAGATCAGAAGCCCAGTTTTCAATTAAATAAATCATACACACTGTTTTTGGTTCGCCGTCGTAATAATTTATGTACGAAAGTGTGTTCTTCAGGCCTAAAGACTACATATCTACTCAATGTTGTTGGAATACAATAATAGGGCCTAAAGAATGAGAAACAATTACCTGACCTTTTTTCAAGAGGGGGAAAACCTTGAATTTTGAAGAACCTAATGGTCATTAAAAGACTCCTCAGAAGTCGGCAAACTCATTTCCGGCCATCTAGGAATCAACATTTTCCCGGGGGAGGACCCCCTTTCATTTTGGCGTTTTTTGTAAACATTTTGAAACCCCCTCTTTTAAATCTTGGATCCGCCCCTGGATATTCACGACTTTCAATTGGGCCGGACAGAACAGTAGAACACCTCAATTACGGCGTACATGATTTTATATCGTACATTAAACTGGGATTCGTCCAAAATTTGTTTCGTATGTATTCTATATGTTGAATTGGAAAGAATACTTCTCTCTCTTTATTCAGAAAATATAGGGGAGGATTAGAAGTGGTGAGCATTGACATGAACAGTGCAAATAATTTCAATATGATTGGCTCTGTAATTTTTGTTTCAAGGTGTTCCACCTTATCTTTTCATGAGTTTAATAGTTCTGTATATTAAATTTAAAATTATATATCAAAAGTTGTTTTGTTGGCTTTTTACGATTTAGGTCTATATATAACTTGTTTCAAGGTGTTCCACCTTATCTTTTCCTGAGTTTAATAGTTCTGTATATTAAATTTAAAATTATATATCAAGAGTTGTTTTGTTGGCTTTTTACGATTTAGGCCTATATATAGTATAACTTACACATATATACTGTTTTGAATAAATAATGCATGCTAGCATGTCAATTTCTATTTTTTCATTTCTTCGATTTCAAAATATTCCTCCACTTTTCCTTTCCTTATGTCCTCTTCTTTCATTATCTTTCCACTTTCATTTTCCTTTCCCATAACCCAATATATTCAATTCCGCACATCTGTTCATCCACCAAAGGAATGATTACTGTTGCATCAACGCGCACACAAGACAGCACTACAACCAAGAAATTTCACATTTTATAATGAATTAAACTCAACACTTTGTGTTTATTATGATTACACTTTAATCAATTTCAGATAGTTTACCGCCCTCTATAGCTCCACAACTGTGAACAATAATTATCTGAATATCATAATTATTATTTTATACATCAATATCCCTGTGTTCGAAATGATGCAAATGAATCACTTAACATTAAAACTTTTTCGGTTATTTCTTCTGTGATTAATGCTAAGATCTGGCAATAAAAATTATTAGAAATTAATTATTTCACAATTCAGGTCATCAAAACCTATTCATTATGTATTTACTAATTCAATAATATTATTAATAACATTAATAATAATAATAATATTTTAATAATATTGATGATTTCAATAGCATATCCCTTACAGCAAGGGATGTTATTCTTTACCCAAACAAACAATAAATGATATTAATATTAATATTACTGTAATAATATTGATGATTTCAATATGGCAGCCCTTACAACAAGGGTTCTCATTTTTATTCATGCGAAAAAAAAAAAGTAGACTGCTAATATTAACTTTGCTTTATATTTCCAAAAATATATTATCATAATTGATTATAGCATTGTTTCACTATAGGCTTCTTCCCAAACATTTTATAAAACCATCTTTTTTCTCAAATAAATACATTTAAATTTTAAATGGCTTAAAATATACCAACTGTATAAGAAAGAAATATCATTATTAACTACTATTATACAATTCTAAGAATTCAATAGATTTTATTAACACTCCTAAATTCCAAAACCTTACAAATATTCTCCAATGTACAAAGACTGAATGTTTACCAGAAATAGGTGAAATTGTGTACAATAAGGACGGGGAAATGGTAAAAAATTACATTTAAATTACAGGACAATCATGTTTACTAATGCAATTGGAGTTATGAAGTACCATTCCTGCCGAACAAACACACCCAGGAACGCATTTTGTATGTATACATTGGTCTGTGTTACTTTGGTTTTCACAAGTTGCTTGGCATGGTGATGTACACTCATCGTAAATCATGCCCTCGGGGCAAGAAATTGCTGTGAATGAAGAATAATAATTGGCTCATTAGCAATTACTAACATTATTAATCTCAACAGACTATTAATATCAGTAGATTTTATAATATTACTGACATCAATAAACCAAATTTGCTGAATCTTCCTATAAAATTGTTGAAAATAACCCCCAACTAAATAAAGAATTGCTAAAAATAAAATAAAAAAAATATGTGTTTTTCTTATTTTGTTCGAAGAGTCATGGCTGATGGGTTGCTTAGCTTGTAAGAGGAGCTTAAGCCTCCTACCCCTGCTAGTGTGATGTGGTGATCATTTTTGTGAAGCGAAAGAAAATAACAAAAAAAAAAGGGGGGGGGATGCCTTATTCACTACTTTTTCTAATATCTTCATCTTTTGATTTGTCAAAACTATACCAAAAAAAAAAAATTACAAAATACTTACTACACAAATCAGTAGACCTCCAGTTTATCACAACACCCTTCTTGCGTGCCTCGTGTGCGTACATGCCTAAAATATCACACAGACATTTCTCGTTTGCGGGACAAGCACATACATCGTACAGGCAAGCACTGAAGTATGGATTTGGATCTACAATTACATGGGCTGGTTTGAATACATCACCCTGTAAATGAAAAAAAAAATGTATAAATAATGTGTTACATCATGCAGATTTAAGTATTAGAAGATTTTAAAACAATTTAAATTACTTGAATATAATTTTTTTTAATTATTTCTAGCTTGGAACAATTAAAGAAGAATAATCAATACACATGGAAATTTATAAATTGCATTCAAGTAAAATTAAAAAAACAAAGGACCACCAAATCCACCCCATGGTACTTACACTACACCCAAACAACACACTTTCCAAAACACTTTACCAAAACGTAACTAAACACAGAAAAAACACCAATCCAAAACACCTTAACCTATCCACACTTACAGTATATAGGCATACTGTACCTGTACCTCGCACCAACTCACACATAACATCAAATTTTTACCCAGACTCACCAAGTGAATATGCTAATTTTTATTTTCAATATTCCACAAACCTTTAAAATACTGCACTGAGTACGAGCTCTGACCTCCAGGTCACCTCCAGCTTTGATGCATGGCTCCAACTCGTTGCCTTCACGACAAGAACATTCTGGGAATTCCCCGACAAGGAATGTGTTACCATAATCGGATGCTGTCGACATTAACGTTCCATTGCTACTCCTACGATAAAAAAATAACAAATTATGTTCGGGTCTATTTTTAGGCTGGGTCCCTATTACGGAAATTTCCTTTTTATATAATAACAAGTTACATTATCTATATATTTGAAGGTTTACTTTTTGTTTATTTTTATTCACTAACAATTTGTAGGCGATATACAAACATTTTGAACCATGTATTATTGACGACTAAATACAATATGCTTTTGATAAATAATTCAATATACGAAATTTTAAAAATAAATTTTACTTATTATATTCATTCTTACCTATTTTTTGAATACTGAAAAATGAATCTTCCACATAGGGTAAAGTAATGACATTCTTATCTAGCCGCACTTCCATATCGGGGAGTAAATCAACCGTCTTGTTAAACAGATGGAACGAGACCAGCTGGGTTCTCGACACTGCATACGTTCCTTTACCATGATTTTGTACTATCACCTCAAAAGTATTATCTACACAGTCTTTGGCGAGGGTGTATGTACAGGTGCCTTGGAAAGTGAGGAATCGGCCGTCGAATGTTCTATAGTGGGGGTCACCAAACACAGTGCAGGTAGCGATTTCTGGATAAAAACAAGAGTTTCAAATTAATGTAGTTTAATAAGCGAGAACATACATCTCATTCAAATGATACATTTTCATCACATAGCGGTAGCAATTTTGATGGATTTTAAAGAGCTGAACTCATATATGAGTCTTAAGATACTTTCATCTCTGATCAATGTACATAAAGATAACATAAGCTCGGTCTACACTATCAAATTGTATGCGACAAACTTGTGTGATGTGCCCATATATGGGCATGATGATGTAATACAGGATTGAAAGACATTTTGGAACCACTGATTGGTCTATTGAGATTGCCTTTACAGTGCTGTGTTACATATGTATATGTGCATAACGATAGTATTTAAAAAAAATTAATAAATTGAATAAAATAATATTAATTATTTAATTTCAAATCGGAGTTTTAAATATCTGAGTGTCTACATGCTCCCCCAACATTTTGGCTGACAGCACTGTAATTTCCATTACTAAATTTATTTTGAAATGATAGGCCATTTGCATGGTATGTTCATAAGGATGTGCGAGTGTGATTAATGGTATGGTATATAATTGTTCGTAAAGCATGATACTTACTGGGTGCACACTGATGACAACATCCTCCCTCTGGTAACACTAGCTCTTCATCCTGAAAATTACGCAAAAGCAGAGAAAGAAAGATGTTAGAAAAGGAAACAATATCTGAGATGATGAATAGAGTTAACATTATTTAACTTGCTATAACAGGCAACTAATTAATGGGCATATTAATAATGTAGAGCTTACTGTAACCAAGTTCCAAACCATTGAGAAATTAATGTACAGGTATAGCAATAATTTATTGTTGACTGTATTTGACTTATTTTTGAAGTAATTTCTGGAAATTTTAATAATATAAAGTTCACTTTATTTCACCACTGACCACTTACTAAGTGTTGTAATAATGTAGAGTTCGACTTAATAATGTAGAATTCAACTTACTTCTGGGCAAACGACTAAAGGACATGGTGATAATGTACAGTTAACAGCGCCATCTGTACACACACATTGTTCACAACCAGTCTGCCATACTGCATCCGGTGCATAGAATCTACTAGCATATGAACATGTTCCATCTGAAAAAAAAAACACACAGTCAAAGTAAGCGTAAAAACCCACTGCAGACCTTCAGCCAAGCTGGAGAAAGGTATGCACAATGTTAGACAATATAATAGATTAAATTACACAAATCAATCGTGATGTTGGTAGTCTATGAGTGAGATACTTACCTGGATAACCTTCCCTCCCTTCCTACCCTCTCCGTGATCTTTGGATCTCTAGGGAATGAGGACGTTTGTTAGGGAGACGGTTCGTACGTGGCGCCCTGGGTCGGACTGTTCCATTTATTTCGAAGGGGTGTTCCGTTTGGGAACAATGGCAATTAGTCGGTTTATCCAGGTAAGTATTCACGAAATAGACAGGTAAGCTTCTGATCTCGGCAAGAAGAATAATTTAAGAATGATTTTTACCAAGACATCTTGGGCAGCACTCTCCTTCTAACGTGTATTGTTCCTCAACGTCACATCCTGGTACTGTACACGGAGTCCTGGTACAAGTCATGTTACCTTGCTGAAATTCACAAGAAAGATATATTAAAGAACACAAAAGCAAATAAATATAACACACTAAAGCAATCTTGTTGGTTGAAATTGGTATGAGTATGTTGAAGGTCAGCTTATACTCTTGCCTGCATTTTTATAAAGCATTATTTTAACAGTAGATGATTACTGTAAACATCAATAACTGTATAAAACATAAACAGTAACTCAGGCTGTATGATTGCTTGTATGATTGTATGTATTGACCTTTGACATCATATGTGCAACTTAATCTACAAGATGGCATACTATACATTACTATTTAATCAACACTATGTGTATTTTTACTAAGTTATATGGTTTTTTTTTCTTTTTAGTAATTTACAGTAAATGTATATCAAATATTCAAAATCTATTATTTATATGGCAAGGAAACATTTTCAATAAATTCTAAATAATATACCAAAATAACCTCCCCCCCCCCCCCCC